GATAACACATTTCCACGCTATGAATAAAAGAGGAAGATAAGGAGGGGAGAGGATCCAGGCCATGTGCTCGGTGCCGCTCAGGGTGGGAGTGCTGCTGGAGCCATGCAGACATAAAGGCTGGGGGTGGGTGCAAGGCTGTGGGGGCCCTGGGGGCCGTATTGGCACCTATGGCATTTTCAGGAGCTCCCAGACTGCATTCCTAGCTGGTCAGCGTCTTCCAGAGATGGGAACTGGGATGCCTGCTCCTCTACCTGCTGTTGGGGCCACGTCGTGCCTGCTTCTCTTTGAGATTCAGCCTCCCGTTCCCTCACACACAGGCCTTCTCCGACCTCTTCTCTCTTCCTCCTTTCTCCTCCCTCTCCCTCCTCCTCCTTTTCCACCCCTTCTGCTCTCCCCTTTCCTCTTTCTTCTCCCCCTCCTTTCTTTCCTTTTTGTCTTCCCCCTTTTCCCTTCCCCGCCTTTCTTCCTCCCCACCTTCAACTGTCTGGACCGTCTCAGCTTCCAGGTTTGTATTTCCATCAGCAACCAGTTAGTACCTTGGCTTCTGTGGTGCTCAGTCTTGATTGGCTTGGAAGGATGCTTGTCTTGGTTACTTTTCTCTCCTTGCTGAGACAAAATACCCAACTCCCAAAATTAAGGAAGAAAAGATTTATTTAGCTCACAGTCTGTGGAGGTTTCAGTCCATACTCGGCTGGCTCCAAGGCAGGGTGGCACGTGGCAGAGGGCAACTGTTCATGGCAGCAGAAAACAGCAAAAGCAACAAGAGCAAAAGGGAAGAGGGGTGGCAAGCAGCCTCTTTCCCTCCCTTCTATCATCCAAATGCACATCAGAAGGAGGAAAATAATATGAAGACTAGTACTAGTCAGGGTTCTCCAGAGGAACAGAATCAGTAGGAAACGTGTATAATTCTGCAAACTGTGTGCCCCAGGGCGGGTGCAGCACTCACACCCATAATCCCAGTGTTGGACCATGGATCAATCGTGAACTCTGAAAGCCCACCCCATGACTGCAGGAGGTTTTGCGGGGACATCCAGACACAAACCATAACAATACTCTTATGCTCTGGATCTAAAATGTCTCCCCAAGATCTCATGTCATGGAAAGCAATTGGATCAGGGGGGCATTATACTCATCAGTGAGCCCACCCGTTGATGAGCTCAGTAGCTGAGTGTGCTGTCAGGGGTTGGGGCAGGGTTGGAGGTGGGTCACTGCAGGGAGGGATCCTGAAGGGTACATTCCAGCTTGTCCTCTTCCTCCTCCCCCTCTTCTTTCCTCCAATTCTTCTTCTAATTCTTGTCTCCTTCTCCTTCCCTTTCCTTCTTCTCCCTTCTCTCTTCCTTCTTCTCCTTCCTCTCTTCCTTCCCTCATGCTCCCTCCTTCTCTCCCTGCCAACTCCTTGCTGCCTTGGCCTGAGGAGTTTTCCTCTGTCATACCCTTCTCCTAAACTATAGAGCCAACCAATCATGGACTGAATCTCACCGGAAATCACGAGCCAAATGAACCTCTCCTCCTTCAAGTTGTAGGTGTTTGCTATTTTGTGTCAGCAGCAGAAACGCTGACTGGTACAGATTTTGGGATACAAAGTGTAGTTGATGCTGTAACTGTAACTAATCACGTATCTTTAAGCCCTTAGAAATAGTTTATGGGAGGAGTTTGGAAATCTTTGGAGATGCAGGCTAGAGACGCTTTAAAATGGTGTTAAGAAGTCTGTGGGTGCTGATTGGAATGCAGACAGTAAAGACCAGGCACAAGAGATTTTAACTGGGAACAAGGGCTCTATTGGCAATTGAGCTAGAGGTCATGTGGGTCATACTCTGGCAAAAAACTGTTTACCCTTTACTCATGTCCTGAGACTTTGTAGGAAAGTGATACTCAGCGCTTTGGACTAATTGATCTGGCCGAGGACATTTCAAGACAGCTCAGGGCTGTGGCATGGGTACTACTGGCTGTTTTTAGCCATATCTACAGTGAGAACAAGGAGGGGAAATACATCAGAGCTCAATGATTTGAAAAATTTGCAGCCTGACCAGAAAGAAAACACTTGTAAAATAGAGGGACTGAAGGGAGTGAGAATGCTAAAAAAGAAAAAAAAAATTAGTCTTAAAAACAAGCCAGGTACTTTGCACCAGAACAATAGGAAAGATGGCTTGAAGGAACTGCAAGATCCTACCCTTCTAGGTACAAAGGGGTAAGTGAATAAAAAGCTTGGAAAGACTGCTTTGACAAGACAGCCTGCAAGGAGGCCAGCTCGTTCTGGGCTGCCTGTGGAACTGTTTTCCAGAGCTCAGCCAGGGCACTCAGAGGTTGCTCTGGAGATATTCCCAGAGAGCCCTGTTACTGCTGCCACTCACACCCTGATATTATCCACACCAGGATGGCGCTGGTTATGCAAACACACAGAACGCAAAAGTCATGGAAGTTTCTACCTAAACTTCAAAAGAAAGCCCAGGACGCCAGACAGTGTGGCTCTGATAGGGCAAAGTATGAAGCTGTGAGAGTGAGGCAGTAGGAGCAGTGGAAACTGCGGGAAGCTGGAGATGCCGGGAGTGTGAATCATGTGCTGAAGAAAGCCTAGGGAGTGAGCAAAGCCAGCCCAAGACAGAGGCTACGTGAACTACAAACAGCAGGACCGCAGGGGCAGGACTGTCCACGCCCTTGGGAACTCAGTCCTCAGCATCACCTGCCCCAGGAGCCGCACACAGGGCCGCAAGACTTAACATTTGCCTTGCAGGGTTTCAGTCTTGCTTCCGTCCCGTTCCTTTCGATCTCCTTATTTCTCCTTTTTAGAATGAGAATGTCTACCTTGCGCCATTGTAGGTTGAAAGTATTTCTTTCTTTTTAAACAGGGGCTCACAGCTAAGAGTTTGCCTTGAGTCTCAGAGGAGACTTGGATTTTTAAACTTGGATTTTTTAGCAATGCTGGAGCTGTTGACTTTGATGACTCTTAAGCAGTGCCCTAAACGCACTTTGCATAATGACATGCACATGAGCCTTTTGGGAGCGAGGCTAGAACATTATGGCTTAGATCTAAAATTGCCCCTAAAGTCTCAGGTGTCATTGGGTCATGGTGATTGGGTCATGGAGGTGCCACAGTCCTCAGTGAACTCATCCATGACGTGCTCAGTAGCTGAGTGTGCTCTTAGGAGGTAGGACCTGGTGGAAGGTGAGTCTCTAGAAACATGGCCTAGAAAGAACTGCTGTCCTCAGTTCTCTTTCTCTCTCTTCCTTCCTTCTCTCTGTCTTTCTCTCCTCTCCTCCCCTCCCCTTACTCACTCCCCCCTCTTTCAAGTCCCTTTCTTCCCCTTCCTCCCCTCCCACATAAAACCATAAACCAAAAAAACCTTTCCTTGTTTAAAGTGTGGGTGTCATGCATTTTGTCCCAGCAGTGAAAAGCTGACCAATACAGATTTCAACTCTCAGTTCTCAGTGGGTAGATTATGACTGCTCCACCCTCTGAGTCAGATGTGCCAACAGCCACGTACTTCTGTAGCCATGGGGACCAGGTACAAAGTTCACAAGTGGATTCTGGGGTGCTCTCCACGGGAGAGGGGTTGGCACAGAAGAAGAGTTTGTAGACAAGACGATCCCACAAAACGGGTGCTCTGGAAGTCACTGGCGCATGCTCAGACGCAGCACTCACAGGGAGAAGCCCCACTTGCTCAGGGGAGCTGCCCCTCACCAGAGGCTTCAATGTGCTCCTCCCATGTGACACTGTCTTGGGAATCCCTGGGGCCCCCATGCTCACATCACTAAGGTGTGTCCCCTGCTGGAAACTTCTATCCCATTGCACAGCACCACGGTTTCTTGCTAATATAGCCAGTGGTCAAAGTTATGTATGGAAATATCCATTTTCCAGAAGTTTGTAGTGCCTGTGTCTAGTTTTGTTAATGTATTTCACTACATTACAACAAAGTGTGCTGTTACTAATTACACCCATCTGTGCATATAGAATTGGAGGGAGTGGTACAACAAAGTGGCTCAGCTTCTGGCCCCACCCCTCACCCCAACATGTGCTTCTGGCCCCGCCTGGGACTGTTGTCTCCAGAGAAAGCCTGTTCAATGATGAGGCTGGACACCACGCTGAGCAGGAGCCGAGCACCAGCGCCCTGTGCCTAACGCTCTGGCCTCCAGCAAGCCACCTGCCCTCTCTAGGCCTTCCAGATGTAGGAGAAAACCCAACAGCGTCAGAACTGCCAGATAAATTTGAACTTGAGATAAGGAGCTAATAGCTTTCAGTATAAAGATGTTCCAGATGGTGCAGAGAAAAATTTTTCCTTGCTATCTGAATATTATACTAAAAAAATTGTTGTGGATTATCCGCAATTAACTGGATCTCTTATATTTTATGTTTTAACCCTAAAGGACCCACAGCTTCATCAGTAAAATGAAAAAACAATGTAACCCAGCTTTTCTAGGCTTATTGTGTGGAATTTATGAGATAACACAAATAAGGCTTTGTTTGTCACATTCGTCAATGCTCCCGTAACGTTCACCCTTCCATCTAGTATAGGCTCCTTGTTGGTAGTCTTAGTTCCTGCTTGTTGCTCTGGGACATTATTAAACTTTTGCATTCAGATCTCTATCAGTTTGGATGATACGATACGTGGTCATCACAAGTGTTAAGACCAGGCGTTTCTGCCAGTTTATCTCCTTGTAAATTGAAATGTAGTCCTTCATTTTAACCACCAGATGGCACTGCAAAGCATTAAACAGAATGAAAAGGGAAGGTATCTGCGTAATACTGACCTCTCCGGATCGATTCCCTTCCCATGCCCAAGACAGACGCGCGCGCGCGCGCGCGCGAACACACACACACACACACACACACACACACACACACACACACACACACACAGCCGGGCGCGCGCGCTCCTCGCATTTTATTCACAGCAATTGAGTGACTCAGGAACTCTATGAATACTCACCCTAAAGTTGGAACACACATCAGTAAAGAGTATAATTATAAAACCCATGAGTGATTCTCCTCCAGCCATGTTTTATTTTTGAATTTTAAAAATCACATTTCTTCTCTCATAATTCAGGCTAAACTTAACCAGAACACCCTGTGGTCTACACGAGCAGGAACCTGTTTCTCATTTCTTTAGCGTCTCCTCAGTGTCTGGAGCTGTGGTGCGGATGAGCATTGTCAGAGGACGGTTTAGAGACACCCGGTCCCCAGGGCGGCGGCACTGGTGGCGGCGTGGACCGGGCGGAGATGAGGCCTCGCCGAAGGTCCTTGGGTCCCTAGAGCTGTGCTCGTGAAGGAGCTGTGGGTCCTCACAGTCTCTGCCTTTTTTTTTTCTGTCAGCTCCTTGATGCTCTACCACCTTTGTCAAAGACCCAAATCAATGAGGCCACCCATCTTGGACTTGAACTCCTGGAAACATGAACCTAAGTAAAGCTTGCTTTTGCTTGATGAGTAGGCTGTGTCCAGGGATTTCACGGCTGTGATACAAGCTGACTGACGTACTGGGTGTTCCCGGTATGTGTCATAGGTGGATACACAGTGCATGCGGAAAGAAGGAAGGGAGGGAAGGAGGAAGGAGAGAAAGCAAGATGGATGGAAGGGAGGGAGGAAGGGAGGGAGGGAGGGACATGGGTATTAAGAAAATAAATATATGGATCTTTATTTCTGGAAGTTGGAATGCTGTTACCCAGTTGAAAGTACATATTTATTTACATGTAGGAAAAGATCCTTACAGCATCAGAGATTATTAAATATGCCTCTTAAAAGAGAAAATTAAATCCTCTTTTTTGAGAGTGAGATGAAAAAGAAACAAAAGGCTAAAATATCACCAGGTCAAGTTTTACTTATTCTACTCCAATGGGAAAATGAAGGCCCAGTATGAAAATAACAGGCCTTATTTTCCCTTTAGTGAAAAAACACATTTGAGGGAGATTTTCTCTTAAGACTGAGCATTCAGGGAAGAGCACGTACCCATCAACAGGCTGACCAGTCACAGAAAACTTCTTTCCGTGTCACTTTCCTCCCTGTTCCATCAATAAATAATGCACACACATGGCATGGCAACAAACCTGTCAGCAAAACAAGAGAGTAAAGAGAAGCATTTCCAGACACTAAATACCATTTGCTGTGTGAATGACAATCATGTGTGTATTTTTTAGAGAAAAGAAACATGTAATCGCAACAAAACACTCCAATGTCACACAACTATCCACAATAACATCCACGGGAGTCTGAGAACTGAAAGCAGACAGGAGACGCACTTTCTATTCTGTGGCCGACACCAACACCATCTGGTGCTGACGCCCAAAGAGTACTTTTGCAGTAAAACGAATACACTTCATTGAACCAGAGAAAGCAAGTGTTATCCAGGCATAATGAGTTTCCCACATCCCAATGTCTCTTTTTTTTTTTTTTTGGTTTTTCTCCGGTACCGGGAACCGAACTCACGACCTTGCACTTGCCAGGCAAGCGCTTTGCCGCTGAGCTAAATCCCCAGCCCCCCAATGTCTCTTTAAAGAAAACTTTCCTCCTCTGCTCCCTTTGTCACAGCAGCAGAAGTTCTCTCCAGGGCAATACATGTAGACCCACAGGTCCCAGGGGATGTGGCAGCGCTGTAAAGGAAACAGAATGGAGATTTCCAAGACAGAATGTCCACAGCTGGTGGTCAGAAGCCCACATCCTGGACCCTACTAGTTGACTGCATCTTGTTGTATCAGTGTGGCTTCTTCAGCTGTTATAAGCATTGGCATCTATTATGGTTCAGACATGTTCTGTCCTCCAGTGGGTCTTTGTCTTGAAGGCTTGGCTGCTAATGGGCTTTGGGACCAGTGATTGGACCATGAGGGCTCTAATTTCATCACTGGATTAATCCACTGTGTGATCATCATTTGATGACCTTACTGGGAGATGGTAGAAATAGGGGATAGGAGCCAGCTGAAGGGAGGGAGCCATGGTTCTGGGGAGACTGGTCCCCACCGCTTTCCTCTCTTGCTCTTTCCTTCTTTATTTACTGGCTGCCATAAGGTCAGCAGTTTCCCCCACCATCTTCTGCCATGATGTTCTGCCTTGGAGTCAACTGACCATGGACTGAACTCTCAGAAGCTATGAGCCAAAGCGAACCTTTCCTCATGTAACTCGTGTAGGTCAGATATTTGGTTACAGCAACAAAAGCTGACTAACATAGCATCTAACTCCATCACAAGCAAAATATGGGAGCATACTGGGCAGCTTCTAGTGTAGAAGCTGCTAGAAAATGTGGCTCAGAGGCAGAACTAGATCCTGGTTATGCTGCAAGACTTTCTCAGCCCTCTGGTTCAGGCACCATCTGTGCAGAAAGTGTACTCCCACTACCTTTTCCCAACCGTACGGCTCCTATCAAGGAATCTGCCTGGCATAGTTTGGGTCCCTTGTCTGCCCACTGACCAGCACTGGTCAGAATGCCCTTGATTAACAGCGCCAGCAAGGCCACACAGGGTAGGGAGAGTACTCTTCCAAAAAGAGGTGTGATGTTTCCAGATGGTGAACGGATGTTGGTAACAAACAGCGGCAGTGTCACTACTGGGTTTCACTGAGAGAACCTTCCCCCTTCTGCCCGCATGCTTGCCTTCCCATAGAGCAGGACTTTCTTCTCTTGTAGAAGAGTCTAGGAGACACGGCCCTTGTGTCCAGGAGACTCGGCCCTTTTCCCTTCCACCTCTCACTCAGTCTTCCCATTGGGAGGTGATGCTCCCAGACAGAAATGAAATACTGACAGCTTGTGTGGCCCTGCTGTCCGAGCTTGCTTTGGGGCAGGCCAAGCCCCAGGGACTGTGTGCCTTCACACACCTGTCCTCCCTATGAGAAGTCCCCAGGATGGAGGCTCAGAACAAGACTGGAGCCCTCTGAACACTGAAGGGCATGCAGGATACTGCCCTTCAGCTGGAGAGTGCAAGGTGGATCAGGCCCCTTCCTGGGACTCCCTGGGTATCATTGCCCATGTGCCTCACTTTGTCCTAAGGCCCATCAAGGATGCTGGGGTGAGCTGCCCAGATCTCCCCTTTGAGATCAAGATCCTCAATTCCCCAGCTGCCAGAAGTGTGACTCATGTGGCTCACAGTCAGGTGGTATCACCAGGGATAGCCCTCAGCCAAAGGGAGCTTTTTTGCCCAAGCTCTCACCCCTCTCTCCAGGTAAGCCCAGATCCAGGGACCACCAGTGTGAGAGCAGAAGGTCCACTCCCCAGACTCCACATCAAAGAAGGGCTGTCTCACACTCTTTGCTCCCCATGAGCTGGTTAAAGCCACTGTCACAACTGTAGCACTCCATTTCTCCCCAGCCAACCTGGCAGCCTCACCCTTGCTCATGTACCACCCAGTGACACTCTGCATGCAAATCTCCATCTCAGCAGCTGACTGATGACCATGTGTGCTAGGGCTGGACCAAGGAAAAGGACTCTGAGATGGATTTGGAAGTATGACCTTCACTATCTGGCAAGTAAAGACGACTACACAGACAGTTCCTGAAATAGTCCCACGTACCCAGACAGTCCCATTCCAGGAGCAGTTTGGGGTCCTCCTAAGGGAAGATGGGACTGGGTACCAGAGAGAGGGGATGCACAGCTGGGGCTGGGGACACAGTAACACAGGACTATAGTTTCCAAGGCTGTGGCTGGTACCACTGATGCACTGGAGAAACTCAGGAAACCTAAGGGTGATCAAAATTGCAAGCCAGAGGTGGAAACTTGAGGGGCAGTAAATCTAGAGACTCAGCAACTGGACAGTTACACAAGATGAGAATCAGGCACCGGACTTCAAAATGAAGGTAACAGAGTTCCAGGGATGATTAACATCTCAACCCTGGCAACACTGATGTTATGGTTTAGAAGTAAAATGTCCCCCAAATGTCTCGTGTCTTCAGAGGTGGGCTTGTTGGAAGGTGATTGGATCATGGGGTGCTAGACTTGTCAGTGGATTCACTCATTGATGAGTTCATGGCTCAACATGCTAGTGGGAGATGCAGCCTGGTCAGAAGTGGTGGGTCACTAGAGGCTAAAGGTATACCTTGTCCCCAGCCCCTCTGTTTCTCTCTCTGCTTCTTGGCCACCATGGCATGAGCAGCTCTCCTCGACCATGCTATTTTATCATACTGTTTCTACCTTGAAACTGTAGACCATGGACTGAACCCCCTGAAACTGTGAACTACGATAAACCTTGCTTTCTAAGTTTTCTAAGTTATTGGTGTTGGGTATTTTGTCCCAATGATGGAATAATAATTAACCCACCTGCTATGCAAGAGAAGAGCCTTGATGGAGAAAAACCAAGACCTGGAACTTGGGTGGTAACATCTGGGTCAATATACCTGGAAATCCTAAAGTCTCGGGGTCTGCAGCAGTGGCTCACTGTCCCCTGATTAATATACCCCTTCAACCTTGCTCACGGGAAATGTAGTCCCCTGTATTTAAGAAAATGTGTGACTCCATTTTCTTCACAGGACAACCCCAAACTCATGATCAGGCCACATCAGGACTAAGTTGGAATACAATCAGCTAGGGGAGTGTTGGGTTAGCTAAGACAGAAATGGACTCTAGCCCAGCAGAAATTTAGGATATAATATGTTCCAGCAGGAGCTGGGAAAATGTGTGGGACTTTGTAACAGATACTTTCTTCATTGCTGAGACACAATACCCAACACTCAAAACCTAAAGGAGGAGAGGTTTGTTATAGTTCACATTTCAATCCATGGTCAGATGGCTCCAAGGCAGGGTGGTGTGGCAGAAGGACATGGCAGAGGAGAGCTGCTCACAGCATGGTGGACCAGAGCTGAAGGTGAAGGGAGGAGCTGAGGAGGGAGGTGCACATCCTTCCAGGTCCTTCCCATAGTAACCCACCTCTTCTGACCAAACCTCACCTCCTAACAGAAAGTCAACTATGCCACCTCTTAACCCAACCACCTTTCAAAACACTGCCTATGAGTGCATGAGGCTCTTGGGGGACATCTAAGTATGAACCATAACAGACTTGTTCCCAAGTGTAGTAGATTCAGTGAGTGCTTGGCATGGGTCTAAATCACATCACTTATCAATTTGGAAGCACCTTTCTGGGATGTAGAATTCAACATCCCAGCAAGGTCCAGAGCTGTGCAACTAGGCTGGCCCTTGAAAACTTGGGGAAAGTGACAGCCCATAGAATGCAAAAGACAAACAGCAGAACTGCAGAGGCAGAAGATGGGAGAGGATCAAGGACTCTGAGAAGCATGTGCCCCGGAAGATGTACACCACGTGTGACCCAGAAAGTGGCCAGTAACTGTGTCACAGGGAAGGACCTGGAGGAAACCGTGCTTACAAAGTGGTAAGGGTTTCACTGGTGAGAAACCACCAGCATTGTTAGGAAGTTAGGTGGTGGCTGGTAACAGGAAATGCTACAGCAGGGCTGGGCTCCTTGGTAGCAATGGAGAGAAGGGAACTTGAAAGCATTCCAGGCCAGGTGGCAGCATGTCATCACCAGCAACCAGATGGGCACAATTATTGTAACAGACGCAAAACTGAAGAGTCAGCTAGAGGACTCTGAGCCACAGAGGACTCTGGAGACAGTTCCCAGGACAATGTCCCCAAGAGCAGGATAGATGAACATTCAGTAAGGGCACTGCCCTCTTAACACATCCACCAAAATCAGGGGTGGAAGAGCAGGGGGCCGAGGGCTGCCACCCAACAAGTTATGCCAGCCACCCAGTTTCTAGGCCTGAACTACTTCTCAGGGCTGAACCTCATAAACTGCAGGAGAGGGCTGGTTCTCAGGAAAAGGGACTCCACAACACCACAGAAAGTGCATATGGTAACTGTCCCTCAGCTTGATCCCCAACCACTTCCATGAGTGGCTTCACATTGAGGGCAGCTCGAGGACTGCTATGTACAGGTCAACACTGATACTCAGGTCCAAAGCTCCATTATGGTGCCCCTGGTGGTGGGGCCATAGTGAGACTGGATAATAGACTCTTGGCCCAGCTCCAGCAATTTTGCAGACTCACCCAAGAGGAATTTCCCACCCACCACGTGTAATTGGATTGCACACACATGGAAGTAGGAAAAACCCACCTAATATGAATTGAATTGTGTCTTTCCCCAAAACTCATATGCTGGAGTCCTGATCCCCAGTATTTCAGAGTATGAGTGTATTTGAAAATAGGGTCATTACAGATGTAGTAAATTTAGTGAGATAAGATCATGAGAGATGGTCCCAACCAACACAACTGATATACAATTGAAAAATCTGGACACATAAACACACACATGGACAATGCCATGTGAAGACAAAGGCAAAGATCAAGATGATGCTTCCACAAGCCAAGGACCCCAAAAGTTGCAACCCCCAGAAGATAAGAGATAGTCTTAGAAGGGATTCTTTCTCACAGTGCTCAGAAGGAAGTAATCCTGTTGATACCTTGGTCTCAGATTTCTAGCCTCTAGAACTGTGAGACAATAAGTGCCTGTTCCTAAGCCACTGGGTTTGTGACACTTTGTGATGTGAGCCCTGGTTAATCTAATGCACTATGCACAGATTCCTCATTTGTGGAGTAAGAGCTATCATGGTGGGGAAAGCAAGAGCATCCTGATGAGATTGTCTTCAGACAATCCAAAACTACACTGAAAATGGACTACAACCTCACTACCTGCAGCCCCTGGGTGCTCACAGTGGCCCTAAAGACATGGTGAAGGAAATGCTCCCAGTGGAAAGAGTTTCAAGCAATGCACCTTCATCCACTTGGATCAGAAAGTCAAGTGCTTGAAGTTAGACTGTAATAGACTCATGGCCAGTGGTAAAAATCTTAGCTGGTTGTTCAGTGGCTTAGAAGAAGAGAGATTTGAAGTTGGGTGACCAGGAAGCCTGTGGATCATCTTATAGGAGAGACTAGTGTGCTCAGACATCTTCACATTCTGTGTTAGTTTCCACCCGAGACCACTCTCCATGGAAGACATCAAAAAACCAAGAGACACAATGGCTGGGCCCTTCAGGTCAGAGGAGTTGGATACAAGAGCACAAGGGTTAAAGTTCAAGGCAGATCCAAGACATTCTCTCAACCATCTCACCAACAAATGAAGCAGAGCTTGGTTTTTCAGTTGTTCAAAATTCAGAAAGGAAATGCACCTCCAAAATCCCAATACACCCAACACCCCCATTTACTAGTCATGCAATCTCAAGGAACTTACTTGATTTTGCCGAGTCCATCTAAAACAATGGAATAATCTCATCTATGACCCATCCCACTGTAATTGGTGTAAGTTACTTACATAGTGCCTGACATCCAGCCAAAGTGCTGGAAGTATCAGTGTCTCACCCTATAAAACTCAGGCAGGGAGCAGATGCAGAACCCCTTATTTAATTTCTTTAATTTCAGCCCTCCCTGTACTCTTCCTAGAAGAATATTTGATGGTGATAACTTAAGGTACCTGCAGTTATCTCTAGGAAACTCAGTCAGCAAGGAGTTAATTCTCTTCTTGCTCATCCTCCGGATGGCATCCAGTTACCATGAGTATTAGATAGCATCTTGGTGTGAAGGGGAGAGTCCGGTACTCAGGTGTCATCACCAGTGCTGACACCTGCAGGGACACACGATGCCTCCTGATTCTTGGCCAGCAACACCCAAGGTGTCTGTGCGCCCTCCAGTCTCACATGGTTTCGGGTACTGTTTCCTGACGCCAGATGCACAAGGTCTGAGCTTCAGTGTTTCCTGTATGAATTTTTCACAGTGACATTTAACTTCCTAGTCTTAGATTTCTTCTTGGTAAAGTGAATTACTCCTCCTTGGTTGTATGGATGGAAAAGACAACAAAGGAACTCAGCCAGCCCCTCAGGGTAGTCAGGCTCAGCACATGTCAGCCATTATGACATCCTGAGCTTCTGTTCCAAGGCACCTATTGTTGATGTCCTTTATTTGCAGTGATACTATTTTGATATGGAAATATACATTTATATGTCTTCAGACTTATATTGTTCTTTATAGACCCTTGATCTCCATCTGCCCACAGGCACCCAACAGGAAGTGACCTTTCCCTATGCTAAAACTCAAAAGTGAACACACCACAATTCTAAATGTATGCTAATGATAATGTTGGACTACTTAGGAGAGTATTAATTACTTTCTCAACTCTGTGAAAAAATGATCTACACCCACAATTTGAAGAAGAGGTCAATTTGACTAACAGTTCAGGGGATTCAGTCCATGGTCAGCTTGCTCCAAGAGAGAAACATCACAGTGGCAGGGTGTGATAGAGGAACCTTGCTCAATTTATGGTGGCCCAGAAGCGGACAGAAAAAAGAGGGAGCTGGGGACAAGAACTCACCCTTCCAGGTCATCCTTCCATGACCAGCTTCCAACCAGGCCCCACTTCTTAACAGCACATTCAGCTAGAAACTCATCAATGGATGGATCTACTAACGAGTATAGCACCTCCATGATCAAGTTACCTTTCAAAAGCCTCACTTCTAAACACTCAAGACTGGGACGGGACACTTTGGATCTAAACCATAACATTCCAATCCTGATCCTCAAAAGGTTCCTGTCCATCTCATTATGCAAGATGCAATTTAGTCCGTCTCTAAGAGCTGCCAAAGTCTCAACAACTACAGCATTGCTGAAAAATTCAAATCCAAAGTCTCCTTTGAGACTCAAGGCGAGCTCTTAGCTGTGCGTCCCTGTAAAAATAAAAAAAGTTAAATACAGTGGTGCCTCTGTTCATGAACTTGATTCTTTCCACAGTTCTGGTCACCAGTTGAGTTGGATGAGAGCTGCGTCAAATTCAATGATTAGTTTCAACGTTGACCCCATGGGGAAATTTGTTTCAGTTCTCATCCAGTTCAGTTTGTGACCACAATCATGCAGAGAGTTGAGTTTGTGAACCAAGGGACCACTGCACTTCTAATATACAATGGCACAAGATAAACATTCCTGTTCCAACAAGGAAGAATAAGGATATAGAAAGGACTCAATAAAAGCAAAACTAAAATTCATGGGGCAAACATTAAATCCTGTCATTCCATATTCAGCACCCAAACCAAATTGTACTGAAATGTGAGCTCCAAATGGTTTGGGCAGCTCTGCCATGCAATCTTGATGGCAGAGAAGCCCAGAAGTCATCTCTCTTGGGCTGATCCTGCTCCCTACATGCAGCTTTCTTTAGAAGATGCTCCACATTCTTAGCATCTCCAAGTTCCTGGGGTCTCCCCTGCACCTTCATCTTCACTCTCACAGCTTCATTCACTACGCTGTCAGGGGCACACTGCCTGGTCTCCCAGGTCACCCTTTTAAATGTACATGGAAACCTCCATGAACCCACAACTCTTGCCTTCTGCATACCCACACAGGCTGCACCATGTGAATGATGCTAAGGTCTGCACCAGCCTGAGCAGTAGCCAAGCCCCCAAGACCATGTCTGCAGAAGCCTCTGAGCGCCTGAATGGCTGAACTCAAAGATGCATTCCCCGGGGTGCCTCTGAAGAAGGGTGCCCTGAAACTCACATCTCAAAGCAAAGTCTTTTAATGGAATTTATATTTTTACATGCCTCAGCCTGGGATAGGTGGGGCCTGTTTTCCAGAGATCCCTTCAAGTCATCCTTTCTCTTTTCCCAATGCTATTTTTTCACTGGCCTCCTTTTAATGCTAATCTTTTCAGCAGTCACACTCTCCTTGGCCCCAACTCTAAAAGTACTTCCTTTCTGGTGAACCAGCAAACTTTACACACATCTGTACTTTAAATTTTGCTTCTGATTCTTACTGTAAATCTGGCAAAAATCAACCAGTAGTGCCTATGCCACAGATTGAACATCAGCCTCCTTTGAAATTTCCTCTACCAAATCAAGGATCTCACTGCCCTTAATCTTACTCTTCCACAAAGTCTCAGGACATGGGGCAAATTTAGATTTTTTTTTTTTTGCCAGAATATAACATACATGGCTTGTAGTCCAATTGCCAATGGAGTTCTTGTTTCCATCTGAAACCTTCTGAGCCTGGTCTTTACTGTCTGCATTTCTATCAACATTCTGGTCCTCTAGTTCTAAACAGAATGACTCATCAGTCCCTCATTACAGCAATCTAGGGCTTCTCTAGCCTGAATCACCAAAGCTTTTCAAACTCCTTTCACAAAGCAGTTCCAAAAGCTTCTAAAACTACATGGTCAGGTATATTCACAGCAATAGTACTACTCTTAGTACCAACTTTCTCTATTAGTTACCCTCCTGTCACTAGGAAAAATACCCAACACCCACTACTTAAAGGAAGAGAGGTTTAATTCAGTTCATAGTTCAAGGGATTCAATCCAAGGCCAGCTGGCTCCAAGATAGAAACGTCATGGGGGAAGGGTGTGGTGGAAGACAGCTGCTCACTCACTGCAGTGAGGGGGCAGAGAGAGTAGCCAGGATCTAAGGACAAGAATACATCCTTCCGGGTAATGCCCCCATGACCAGCCTCTGACTAGGGCTCACCTCCTAACACCACATTCAGCTATTAACTCATCAACAGATTAGTCTACCATGATCCAATCACATTTCAAAAGCCTCAGTTCTGAGGTTTTGGAGGAACATTTTAGATATAAATGATCACAAGGGATCTCGGTCTTAAAGCAGCACGCATTTCAGCATTAGTTATGAACATGCTGCCCAGAGTCTTTGGCTAGCATTCCAGGAGAATGTGAGTTGGAGACTGGAGCAGAAACGAATTTAACAAATCACATTTTTGTTTTGATTTAATGTTTCTCTTAATGTCCTAAGAGTATGACTAGCTAGCAATTAATTTAGTGCCCCTAAAATCCTCTGGTCACACTGAACCTCTTGCCAATGTGTCTGGGCCTCTCAGAACACTAGCGAACACTTTCTAATTATGTGGAGAAATTTTGCTTAAGACATCAACATCCAGGACTTGAAGTCAAACTTTACCCGTGTCCTGTCTCTCGGAGTCACTGGCGTCATCTGGTGAGCAATGACCAGATGAGTGAGAGCTGATGTCACTGAACCAGCACTAATGTGTGTAGAGAGCACAGATTGTAAACACAGCTCATGCTTGTGACCATACTTTGAGTGTGTTTAAAAGTGGATGCTTTGTGTCCTTTCCCTGAATTCCTTCTTTTGTGATCATCCTTCATTTCTTCTTCTGTGATCATCCTTCATTTCTTCAAAGTCATCTGCATTGCTACCTCTGCTATTTCCTTGGTCATTTAGTCTTTAAAATTACTGGTGCTACTAAAAAGCAATAGCATTCCTGTATACAAACAAGGAACTCACTGAGAGAGAAATTAGGGAAACCACACCCTTTACAATAGCATCCAAAAAAATGCAGTACTTAGGAATCAATCTAATAAAGGAAGTAAAAGATCTATGAATTGAAAATTACAGTACTCTGAAAAAGGAGATAAAAGAGGATATCAGAAAATGGAAAAATATCCCCTGCTCATGGATAGGAAGAACCACAAAATAACCCTACTCCCAAAACTGATATACAGATTTAATGCAATCCTGATCAAAATACCATTAGCATAACTCACAGATCTAGAGAAAACATTCTTAAAATTCTTTTGGAACCAGAAGAGACCTAGAATTGCAAAGGCAATCCTGGGCAACAAAGGCAAGGCAGCAGGCATCACAATCCCTGACCTGAAATTATACTACAAAGCTGCTGTGATAAAATGAGCAGTATGCTGGCAAAGATATAGACCTGAGGATCAATGGAACAGATTAGAAGGTGCAGACACAACTACAAACACAATCAATCACTTTATCTTTGACAAAGGGGCCAAACATGTTCACTGAGAGAAAGATAGCCTCTTTAATAAATGGTGCTGGAAAAACTGGCTTTCCACATGCTGAAGACTAAAACTAGATCCATGTCTATTACCATGCACTACAGTCAAAATGGATCAAACATCTAAATATTAAAACAGAAGCACTAAATCTACTGGAACAGAGAGTAGGTAGAATTCTTGAAGACATAGGGGTAGGCAGAGAGTTCATGAACAAAAACCAAACTGCACAGGAAATACTTCAAAGAGTCAACAACTGCTATCTTATCTTCTTAAAAAGTTTTTGCACAACAAAAAAATCATCCACAGTGTGAAAAGAAAACCTACAAATTGGGGAAAAAAATTTAGCCAACTGTTCCTCAGACAAAGGACTTCTATCTAGAACATATAAAGAATTTTAAAAAACCAGGCCCCCAAAATTCAAAGACCCAATCCAAAAATGGGCATCTGAGATGAATACACACTTCTCAGATGAAGGAATACAAATTGCAAATAAATATATGAACAAATATTTAGCATCACTGGTCATTCAAGAAATGCAAATTAAAACAACACTGAGATTCCATCTTACCCTAGGCAGAATGGGTATCATCAGGAAATCAATCAATAACAAATGCTGGCAGGGCTGTAGGGAAAAAGGAACCCTTCTCCACTGTTGGTAGGAATGTAGACTGGTATAACCACTGTCAAAATCAGTGTGGAGATTCCTCAAAAACTAGGACTAGATGTCCCATTTGAACCAGCTATTGCCCTTCTGGGTATTTTCCCAGAAGAATTAAAACCATTATACCACAACGATATATGTGCACCCATGTTTATAGCAGCAAAATTTGTAATGGCTAAATCTTGGAAACAACCCAAATGTCCATCAGCTGAGGGATGGATTAAAAAAGATGTGATATTTTTATACATTGGTGTACTATTCAGCTATGAAGAAGATAAACTCAAGTCTTTTATAAGTGAATGGATGCAACTAGAGAACATACTCATAAGTGAAATAAATCAGACTCACATGTGTAAATATCATAT